GATAGAGTTTTTAAATTTAGTACATGTACTGATACTATTCTTTAGATATAAGATTCGATTTTGTACCTACCTTTATATTTTATGTTAATACATACATATATAGTGAAACACATAACCTTTTTTTTAATTTTCATAGCGAATACATTTATTTCCATTGAATACGATTTAAATTGAATGTTCATTAAAGGCTGTATGCATATACATACATATTTGTATGTATGTAGTAATAATAAATAAATTGCTAAAATACGGACGTTGATACTTCGTGTATTCGTCGTTTAATCCATTTCTGTGGAATATAAAATCCTTATACGAAGGATAGTTAAATTTAGTATCTCCCTCGAAGGACTCTGCACTAACCACAATGGACTAACCGAAATTTTGCGAGAGTATTTCTTAAGCATACTTTTTCAAATATTTTTAACAATAACAATTAATAGATATCTGTAAATATTTGGGGGGAAATGTCATTACATTTCGTTTATTTTCTTTTTTTTCTAAAAAGCTCGCAACTTAGTTAATCAGATAAAGTCGACAGTTCAACATAGTTTGAACACGAGGAATTAGCGATACTAAAAAAAATTTACTAAAAACCAACATGGAGTGTATTTGAATAAATGCCCTAATATGGAATTACATTTATTGTTGTTGTTTTTTTTCATCTACTTAAAATACTAAATTGAGGAAAACTATGTTGAACTGTGTGTTTATTTGTATCTTCTGGTAATAGTATTAAATAAATTATTAAATAAATAATATATGTATATAGAAAAATATTTATGAGATCTATGATATATGTACGTATGTATTAATTTCTCAGACTATAATTCAGAATTTAAGAATCTAATATATTAATTTAAACAAAAATGTGATGAGTCATACTTATATCACGTTTGATGCATTTCTAAACATTATCTTAGTGTGCCAAAACAATCAATCTTCAATATTTGTACCTTGCAACTTGTTTTTAAATACTCCTTAAAATAACTGAGAATAAGCCCGATTTGTTTGTTTCAATACTTAGATGTTCATCTCTGTATAGAATATTTATATGAACCAAATATTTATAAGACTACGACACCGAGTCATTTCTCTCCTCTCTATTATATGTATTATCAAAACACTCTCTTTCTCTTATACTTTTGTTAAAAAAAATCAAAAGAAGGAAGAGCAAACAATGTGCTGAGCATGTAGACCTACCGTATATTTCATTATCTTAGAAGTCACAAGAATCCCACATCGCAAATTCTACCATTCCGAGTGAAATCAAGCTTTGGCTTGCCTCAATGATCGATCAAAAATTCGAATATTTTAAGATCAAAATGGACAAGGATATAGAAACGTTGGACATACAAGTCCATCGGTCGTTCCATCCTTAATTAGGCAGCACTGACCTGGAGTTCATTCGTTAGTGACAAACAATGGATATCCTTGCAAACTACTCAAAATAATGCACTCCTAATTGCAACCCGGTGATGACGTGCGTCAATCACATTCATGAGGAAACCAGAATGCTGTCAGTCATGCAACATAATGTGTCGTTAACATGCCTGCTATCTGCCGCATTACAACCATCACACAGTGATCGCTGACCTATCTCTGCTGCACGTCCGTCAGGACTTCTGGCGATATTGTGAAGGCATGACGTGCGTCGATCAGATGCATTAGGGGACCAGGATGCTGTCAGTCAAGCAACATTATGTGTTGTTGACTTGATAGTCCCTGCTGGCATGATATCTGCCGCGTCATTACAACCATCACACAGTGATCGCTGATCCACCTCTGCGGCACATCCGTCACGATTTCTGGCGATATTGGGAAGGCATCCAAGTCGTCATTCCATCTGGCGACAACAAATCGTCGATTTCGAATGCGATAACAAGCGGTCTCCAAATCCTTAAATGTCTACAGATGCAACAAAGTTCTACTCCAACATCCTCCTCAATTTCGGTTAAGTTGTATAATGTCGGCTAAGATCTCTTTCTGTGTAAAATCGTTCCAGTATATAGATCTTCGATTGCGAACGCGATGATAGGCAGTCTTCGAAGCTATAAATGGCTACAAATGCAACAAAGTTCTACTCCAAAATCCTCCTCAATTTCGGATAAGTTGTATACTGTCGGCTAAGATCTCTTTCTGTGTAAAACGTTGTGCCCTGGCGGAATATCAACGTTAATGCTCACACGGCAACATGAACCAGGAGTTGACTACCTGGCTAAATTTGTCGATGGCCATCTACATTGTACCTGAAACCTGGCATGGGCAGAGCTAAAGGTCTCAATATGTCAATAGCCACCCACAACGTTGGTTCCGCTACTGAAGGCAGTTGGGCTGCCACAAAGGAGAATCATGGCCCAAATAACGTTCAGGATGGTGCAGTATTGGTCACGGATTGATGACCAGGTGCAGAATGTCTGCCCAGCATGTGGTACCTCATACCACACTGCACTTATTCAATTTCCCAGCCAAATCTACTAATTTTACTCCTGAAGATCTGTGGTTGCAGCCAGTGGAAGTAGATGAATTTCTTAACTTGGAGACAGAACCAGATAGAATTTAAACAGGAATATATATTCATATAAACAACTACAACAACAACATGAAGACCGATTTTACCATTTATCACCAGTAGCAAAGTCTCTTGAGACATTACTCGTCTCCAGTGCATAAGGGAAAGCTATCTAGTTGCGGATAATCAAGATGGGCTATATAAGTCGAAAACATAACCATACATATAAGTCGAAAACATAACCAGAACCGGCCCTACCATAGAATAGTGTTGACATATCAAAGCCTTTGATATCGCTCATTCCACACACTTTGAGGACATCAAGAATAATTCCCTCCGGCCAAGTTTGTAAAGTTGGATAATAAATTAATTGTGGGCGCCAGTCGAACGTGGAGTTCCAGAACAAAAGTCCAAAGTGAAACATGGAGTTTCCTAGTGTAGGGTGATATCTTCGAAACTCTTTAATCTCAACCTTTCGCTAATCATGTCACACACTTTGAGGACATCGAGAATACTTCCCTCCGGCCAAGTTTGTAACATTGTAGAGTGGAGCTTATGTTACCCAGTGTGGGCTGATATCTCCCAAACTGTTTAGTCTCAACCTTTCCGTTTTTCCCGACCTCCAGACGGCATTGAGATTACGTTACGTATTCTCATGATTGTACGATCATGGAGTCACGTCCTATTGTTGAGGACATGTAGCGTTGAACGCATATCTCGCCGATTAAGCAGCCTTCTTCCACACGAGAAATATGCAAATATCCGCCATGAAATCTTCGGAGACATTGTTTACCTCATAGACTGCGAAAATGAGAATGCCATTGAATGTGCAGGTCGAAAAGCATACAATTCCGACCACCAACTACCCTTGAGGACACATTCGATACGAAGCTCAAATCGTCTGTGGAAACCTCTACTACCTGTGACAATTTGAAAAGTAGAAGCAATGTCCACAAATCGCCTGCCGACAGTTCTTGGAGTGTAGATAAAGAAACCTTGTTGACATGTTCTAAAACGTTTGGTTGGTCAGTGGCCAGGTATTCTACCTAGACCATTTTCATGAGAAGAGGAATATTATCGTCGTAATTCGTATAGGGATTGCGTGCAGAATTTCTGTCCAGCTAGGTGTATAGTGGTACTGCACACCACACTGCACTTATTCAATTATCCTGGCAAGCATACTCAACTTACACCAGAAGATCTGCGGCTGCAGCATGTGGAAGGAACTGCATACAGACTTGAACTTATAATTGCCCTGACAATCCTACTCAACTTACTCCAGAAGATCTGTGGCTGCAGCCTCTGAAAGGAACTTAACATTGAGAGTCCGCCGCCGGTCGTCCATAGCATGGATGCATCAAATAGGACGATTAATATACATAAAACTGGAGGGAGAAGTCGAATGAAATTAAAGAGTATCTCTCGACAATATCGATATTCGTCAGAATGCTAGTGCTTTGGCAACTCTGTCAAACTGGACCCAAGATAACCACGGGAAGACACCAATGGTATTCTAGGAAACGTAAGTTCCAAACTTCCGTTCATTAGAAGCCCAGTACCTCGGAACAGTCCTTGACCACAAATAACATGAAAAATGAATGCGGAGGAGCCTACTAAGAGAGGTCTAATGGCACTTTGCTCATGCAAAAACTCAATTGTAAAGAGCTAGGGACTAAAACCGGAAATCATACACTGTATATCCAGTAGTCCGACCTATTGCATATTACATTGGCGAAATCTGTAAGACCTACTGCAGGAAAGACGGCAGAAAATGATCTGAGGAGTCTGATTACAGAACTTCTAAATTCATCCAACCTGAGAATAAAAACATGGCACTGCAGGATTAGATCCCACACATCCAATTGCGAAATCCATGAAGTGGATTACTGTCGTTTATGTGAGGATGAGAAAGAGCTGAAAAAAATTGAGTGGTGGTAGTCACAGTCAGTAAACCATAATACCGAACAAACCTAATACCACTTGCCAAACCATCAGTTTTCCAATTACAACAAGTTCAGCGCTAAGTCATCTATCCTCAATGTTCAGGGCTAAGTCATCTATCCTCGCCTATTGGCAATGCACATTGAGCTAAATTATTTCTCCGAGTATTATTAGAACGAATGCAGAATACTATAATGGTGATCTTAAATTTCTACGACGAATTGAAATCTATATACTATATAGTAATTTACCTCTGTAGTTATCAGGTCGTATGGAAGTTTTTAAGGATTTATCTTCAGATAATTTGTTTATAAATTTGCTAATCAAAACAAGAGTTAATGGGATATATCAATAACGTTTCATCGAATCGTATCGTTTTTTAATGCCCTAATTAAGGCATCTGATTTTATCAGCATTTCAGGCAATATTCCAATGTTGTTACCTTTAGAAGGTCCAACCAAAATTACATTTGATTTCTGGTCCAATTGCCTTTCCAGCAAAAGAATGGTAAACCACATACATCCACATTAACATCTTGTTTGAGCCTATCCTAGTCCTGTCCAAATGCCATGGTTTGAGGGAAAATATTTGTGGCAGCCGTGGCGGTTGTGGCATTTGCCGGGCCAAGTATTTGCTGCTGCTGCTGCGGATGTTGTTGTTTTCCCATTTGTGGCTGGGGTTGATGTTGTAGCGGAGGCTGCTGGGACTGTTGTTGAACTCCTCCCGTTGCTGCCACATTTGTAACAATAGTATATTGTGATGGCATGTTCGCTTGTTGTTGTTGTTGCTGCTGCTGAGCCTGTTGTTGCTGCATTGCCAATTGTGGATTTAACATTACCGCATATCCCGACATGGCCGCTGTTGTCTGAACATTGGTATTAAACATTGAATGTTGCTGCTGGAAATGGGGATACCCATGTCCTGCCATACTACCAACCGAACCAAACGGTGGTGGCATAAATCCACTGGTTAGATTTATATAACCCTGTTGATTTATCGTGGTTGGTTGTATGTACAACATCGGCTGCTGAGTGTGTACCATATCCATGGACGATTGACGCATTGCCTTGTGGAATTTTTCATATTCCACATAGTGTTTGAGACGCAATTCGTCCTCTTCGATTAGCTGACGTTGTCGTAGCAAGAGCAAACGTTGATGTTGGGTGGCTCCCAGCCGGGTACTACACAGCTGGCTGACCAGGGAATCTAGATTGTGTTTAATATCCGATTGTATGACTGTAGGCAAGAGATTGGGATGGGTGGCGGCCAATGACATAGGTTCCTCCTGGGTGGCCAAGGCTAGACGGCCGGCGGCGGATTCTACTAAATCTTGTGGTATATAAGGATAGGGATGAAGAGCTGTTGGTTGTTGCTGGATGGGTGTCACAAATGGCAAGGGTATTTGTGTGGCTGGGGCTAATTGTTGTTGTTGAGATTGTTGTTGTTGTTGCTGCTGCTGCTGTTGGGGCTGTGTGAGCTGAGTTTGAGAAGTTTGCTGTTGTGGTTGTTGCTGTTGCAGATTTCCTGCCTGATTTTGTTGATTGATTACATTTGCCATGGTCTGATTGAATAGCTGTTGTTGCTGCTGTTGTTGTTGTTGCAATTGCTGCTGTTGCAACTGTAGATCTGCTTGTATGGCATTGGATCTCTGGATTTGTTGTTGAATTTGCTGTTGCAGTTGTTGTTGTAATTGAGCAGCTGGTTCCATGTTATAGATGGGAGCCGACATTGGAGCAGCAGTAGCACCTTGCAAGGGTACAACCACAGCAGCAGCAGCTGAGGCTGTTACCGGATTTTGTATCGCCGACGAACCCAAAGGCTGATAGTTTAACGACGAAGGCGACAATAACTCCGTGGGGGTATTATAACTATTATTGGCCGTACTATTAATGGCCTGTAAATCAATTGTAGGCCTTAGTATGGCCACTGTCACGGGCACCACAAATGGTTGTTCCTGGGTCGGTGTGGTATCCTGTTGTTCCTGCAACAGAAGCTGTTGTTGCTGCTGCTGCTGCTGCAGTTCTGCGGCCGCTTGCAGTTGCTGCTGCTGCTGTTCTTGAACATGACTAACACAAAATCGCGATACCTTACGGGCATTCAATTCCTGTTCCGTCCTCTGCTGTTCATTGAAAACTTCATCTGTCATTTCCACATTCCTTAGGGCAGCCAGTTTTTTCTCCAAATCGGCAATACTAGTTTGGCTGAGGCCACACATACGCTGCGTATTGGTATTGGTGGTGATGGTGGAATCAACACTGCCCCCTGACAATGGTGGTAGTTGAGGTGTCTCCAAACTATTTTGTTTGGAGAGTTTTTGATGCAGATCCATGTGTTCGAAAATATTGACAATGGGTTCGGCAATTGGATTTTGCAAAGGAAATTCGGAAAATTGCGTTTGTGTTGGTTGTGTCAAGAGATGGGTTTGTTGTTGCGGTTGCAACAGGGGCATAGCATTTTGTATATCATTACAGCCACTGTTATCCAAAGAGGTACGTCTCGAGTTAAAGGTGGTAGAGCTGCGTGTGGAACTCAATGGTCCTGTGGGTGTATCATCATCACCCTGGACATGTAACTGTTGTTGCTGCTGCTGTTGAAGAAGAGGTGTCAACTGTGTTGTCACCTGCTGCTGCGGTTGTTGTTGCTGTTGATGTTCATTGTTAATGGAGGCCACAATGGCCGAGGCAAACGCCTGGGCATGGGTAATATTTTCCAATTCGATTTTCAGTTGTTCCAGCGAATGATTTGTATTACCATTGGTGGCTGCCATAACAGCATTACTAGCCTCCTCACCGGAGGGTGTAACATACAGAGGCACTGCTGCAGACTTGGAACTACCGCCGCCACCACCACCCTGCTGTTCAATTTGTGTGGCGTTCTTTGATTCTCCCAAGGAATTACTATCCTCTGAATTAGTTGTTGTTGCTGCGGTGGTGCTGTTCGAATTCGGCAAGACCACAGGATTTACAAAGAAACGTGATATTTTACGCCCCGCCTTCATACTATTCTCAGGGGTATTTGCAGTATTCGGTATGGAACCACGAAAATCATAGGGGGGTGAAGAATTCTCTGTGGTACATTCATCACTGCTGATGTTTCCCAAATCCTCCTTTTTAATATCCTGCAAGGAGTCCTTAATAATATTCACATTGGGATATTCATTTTGCAGAAAATCGACATATTGATTCCGTGGCGGAAATACCGAATTGGGGGTGATGGTATTTTCCGGGGAATAATCCGATGTAATTGTGGTATATTCCGAAGCTGTGCTAGTTTTTCGAGATGCTGAATCGGAATTATTGCCGGTATTCTCTTGATAGCTGTTGGGATTGGATGATTCACCGACAACTGGATTTGTGAGGTTAGGTTGCGTTGGTAGTGAATTAATTTCGTTGTATTGGTTTGTATTAGCCTGGCCCAAAGGTGAATTTTGAATTGTTTCTTGATTTTCCAAAACACCATTGGTAAGTTTGGAATCTGAAGAATTGGTTACATTTAGTTCTGGTATAACTGTCGTACCATTGTTCATGGCCTCTGAGAATGCCGCCTGTGGCTGTTGGCCCGCAGATACGGGAGAATCCACAACTGATGTCTCTTGAATTGGTTGTGTGTTAGGGGGATTTTGTTGTTGGAATATTTGCGTTTGTTGTGCAGGTGATTGTTGTTGTTGCTGCTGCTGGGAATCATATGGAATGTATTGTTGTTGGCCATTTATGAGGAGTTGTCCAGTGGCTGGCATTGCTTGGGTTTGATTCTGTGGCGCCCCATATTCCAGTTGGGGCTGTTGAGTTGTTGTTGTTGTGGGCGTGGATGTGGCTTGTTGATTGGTCACAGTTTGCTGAATCTGTTGTTGTGATTGTTGTTGTGGGACTTGATTTTGCTGACCCATATATTCCACTTGAGTAGTTTGCGGAGCAGTTGTTTGCTGGGTTACATATTCCATTTGGGGAATTTGTGTTTGCTGTGGTGCTGGACTCTGTTGGTTTACATATTCTATTTGAGCAACCTGTGGCTGTTGCTGTTGTACTGCAGGGATTTGTTGTTGTATATATTCCATTTGTTGTGGTTGCTGTTGCTGAGACTGCTGGGTTACATACTCCACTTGTGAGAGCTGTGATTGTTGGTGCTGCTGTGTTGCCACTTGGCTTTGTTGGCTTACATATTCCACCTGGGAAGGCTGAGATTGTTGGGGGTGCTGAGTTGCCACTGGTTGACTTATATATTCCACCTGGTTTTGATTTTGCTGAGCTGACAATTGATTAACAAAATCTGGCTGGACCTGTTGCTGAGGTGTTTGTTGGGCCGGTGGTGTTTGAAGACCAACAAAATCATGTTGCAACTGTGGCTGTTGTTGTTGCTGCTGCTGTGGAATAAATTCCAACTGGGTTTGAGGCATATAACCATTTTGTTGTTGTTGTTGCTGCAGTTGAGGCTGTTGACCAGAAGCATTAGGCATTTGATTTTGTTGTATGGATTGACCAGCCACATGTTGTTGTTGTGGTGTGTTGGAAATAAATTCTGATGGGGCAACAATTTGTTGTTGTTGCTGATTAGAAATGAATTCTGTTGGGGCAACAACATGCGTTTGCTGTTGCTGCTGAGTGGTTATAAATTCTGGTTGCTGCAAATGTTGTGTCTGTGCTGGTGGTGTTGTATGCTGAGCAACATATTCAATTGGTGTCTGTTGTTGCTGCTGCTGGGGAGCTTGAATTTGTTGAACCTGCTGTATGGCTGTGGGTGTTTGTTGAGCAATAAATTCCACCTGAGGTATAAATTCCACTTGAGTCTGTTGAGGTTGTTGGGCAACATATTCCCGTGGCGGGACTTGTTGTTGTATTAATTGCGTTTGGTTCTGTTGCTGTAAATATTCCGTTTGCGTTTGGTTCTGTTGCTGGGATTGTTGTACAAATTCTGGTTGTGTTTGTTGTTGCTGTATTGGAGGAGTTTGTTGTTGTTGCTGCTGGGGCATAAACTCCGGCTGTGTCTGTTGTGTTTGTATTGGAGGAGTTTGTTGTTGTTGTTGCTGCTGCTGCTGCTGTGGAACAAACTCCTGTTGTGTTGGTTGCGATTGTATGGGTGGGGTTTGTTGTTGCTGTTTTTGTTGGGACACAAATTCAGGTTGGGTTTGTTGTAGCTGTACGGGAGGTGTTGGTTGTGGGACATACTCAATAATGGGATGTTGTTGCGGCTGTGCGGTGATATATTCCAATTGTTGGGGCTGTTGTTGCTGTGATTGTTGTTGGGTGATATATTCCAATTGTTGTGGTTGTTGTTGGGTGATATATTCTATTTGTTGCGGTTGTTGTTGTTGGGACATTTGTTGTTGTGGTTGAGAAATATATTCCATTTGTCCCTGTGGTTGCTGTTGTTGTTGCACCATTTGTGGGACACTTGTCTGAGTTAAATATTCCACTTGAGCTTGTGGTTGCTGTTGTTGTTGCATTGTTGTCTGCTGCTGATTACTTTGTTGATTCAAATAATCCACCTGTGCTTGTGGTTGATGCTGGACTATTTGTTGGCTATTAGCTTGGTTTAAATAATCCACTTGAGGTTGGGGGGGTTGTTGTTGAGCCCCAAAATCCATTTGTGATGGTTGCTGAACAACAATTTCGGAATTGATTTGTCCAGAAACAACAGCCGTGGTGGCTTGTTGTTGCACAGTATATGTCATTTGTTGTTGCTGCTGTTGTTGCTGCTGTTGTTGTTGTTGCGGTACCTGCTGTTGAACAAAATTTTGTCCTGACTGATTGCTGGCCGGCTGTAAAATGGCATTCAACGAATTGGCCAATGATATTTGACTAGAATTATAGAACTGGGGTTGAGTTGTAGAGGGCGCCGCATTTGTGGGCGATGTTATTTGATCATCCTGAGAACCAGATGAAGATATAGGAGTCGATTGGAATTGCAAATATGTTTGGGGTCTTGTCGCCTGATCATTGAGTTGCAACTGTTGTTGCTGCTGCTGATCACCTACCATTTGTGTGCTAGATGCTGTTGTTCCTACTTGCATTTGATTTAATTGTTTTTGACTAGCCTTATTGCCATCCTCATCTTCTTCGGAATCGACTTCATCCTCCTCCTCTTCTTCTTCAACATTTTCCGGCAACATTTCACGTTGCTTTTGTAGAGCAATTTTTTCCAAACGCGACTTTTCATTTTGTAATTGAAATTGTGTTTGCCGCTGGACACGTTCTTTCAGCAATGAAAATACTTGGACTTTCAAGAGCCGTACAATGGCACGAGCATCTTCTTCGGTAATAAGATTCTCCTGCATCATATCATCACACACCCGTTCACAATCATCATTGACCACATCATATTCAAATTGAATGGCTTCGTTTTCTTTGTGTTTTGAAGATCGCTTCTTGGGATCCAAAAATCTCAAACGAAACTCAATAACATTATTATTGGGATTCTCTAGAAAGGCCTCCGTCGAAGTGGGTTCTACGCGAATACCAATATCCTCTTCAAAGAATTCGGAATTTAATAAATCCTTACACTTTGGGCGATCTTCCTTTTTCAGTTCTATACATTTTTCAATAATTTCCCTTACCTTGGGATCTTCGACTTTGCTCAAAGCCGCCGGCTTAATACCCGATATCACCTTTTTATATATCTGGGCCGGGCCCTTGCACTCACTGTAGGGATATTCGGACACAGCCATTTCCAACATGCACATTCCGAAGGCGTACACATCCACCGATTCATCGTAGTGCTCCTCGTACATTTCGGGTGCCATAAATTCCGGCGTGCCAATTACCGATTTGGCATGTGAACGATTTTTCAGTGTGGCCAAACCCAAATCGCCAATTTTTACACTACCCGTGGTACCGGTAATGAAAATATTATCACATTTCAAATCCCGATGTATAATAGGCAGCGGACGGGTATGTAAAAAATGTAAACCCTTGAGTATTTGACGACACCACGATTTCAATACCTTGGGATTGATTTTCTTGAAACGTTTCAAATAGGATTTCAGGGTGCCGGATAACATTAGCTCTGTGACCAAGACAATATTTTTCTTACGCGCCACACTAAATTCCCAATAGGTATAGAAGCGTACAATATTGGGATGCTGTAACTTCTTCAGCATATCGGCCTCTTCGCGGAAACGTTTGCGTTCACTTTTCTTGACTTGCTTGTCGAGTAATTCACACCAGGCCACGGCCACTCCAGTTTCGGTGTCCAAGCCCCGGTAAACAGTTTTGAAGCTACCTCTGCCGACTTCCTTGTCATATTTAAAAAAACGACCACATGGCGACATGGCTACCGGTTCGTCATCATCATCCTTTGTGGAAATAGTAGTTGTGGTCGTCGTTGACACCGGTACCGGAGTGGCAGGAGCACTTGATGACAATGATGTTGTTGTTTTTGGTATTTGTAAATTAGTTTTCTGTGAATCAGTTTGGGGACTTTCAGCATCTACCACACATTCGGAAGTCGTTTCCTCTTCCGTGGTTGTGGTTGTCGCTGTGGTTGTTTCCGTTTTCTCCTCCTGCTCCTTTTCCTCTGCCTCTGGCTTTTGTTCTTGCTCCTCCACCGTTTTTTCCTCTTCTTTTTGTTGTTGTTCTGATTTTTCTTCTTGCTTCTCCTTGCGACCAGCTTCAACACGCGACAGCTTCGATGTACCCTTTGCCACCACACTACATTCAGCAACTTGTTCCTCCAGCTTCTCTTCAACCTTAAACCCTACACGTTTTGAATGTTTACCACCTGCACGCGATGATTTCGATTCTTTCTCCGGGGTACTGGGTGATTCTCGAAGCTTTAACTCGACACCCTCGGGGCGTACAATACGTGTTGGTGTAGGCGTTACGGGCCGAATTATTTCCGTACCACATGTTAAGTCTGTTGTACTTGTACGTGTCGGGGTACGAAATTGTTCTTCCAAATGTTCCGCTTCACGAGATAACATTTCAATATTATCATCATAATCTCGGGGAAATTCTGTTTCCAATTCCAGATAGTTGGTGGTAACATTTCGTGCCGGCGTTTCCACACTTTTGCGTATAAAACGCATATTCGGATTATATTTTTGCATGGCCATGGAACTTTCACGACTATTGCTACGTTCGCCATATTTGCTGGAATACAATTTCGATGATTTGCTCGATGACGTTCGAGATTTCGTTTCGGATTTTGATGATTTTCGATCTTCCATTTTGAATGAAATTTTGAAATATTTCTTATTTCCTTCCAATTCTGCAAATGAGAGGTTTCGCTTTTTCTATAGTTTTTTGTTTTGGTACTTAGCTTTGTCGTCACGAATCTGTATTGAAATTAGAAGATAGTTATGGATTAAAATATTCAAATATTGAAATTGAAAATCTTTCAAACAAAGAACCACCAACGAAAGAAAAAAAGCAACAACATAAAAATAACGCAAATAAAAACAATAATAATATCGTGCTGGGAATATCGTGAAAAACCTCAGTGAGTTGTTGTAGTAAAAATCTCACATCTTATCAATATTGAAAATATTGTTTACATATTTAAGATGTAAATAAACTCCTCTATCGTACTATTATACAAAATGGGATAACATTAAGAATAATTTGAATCTTTAATGACTAATTAAAAAAATATATATATATATATTTTTTTTTTTTTTTTTTGCCAGTTGAGTATGTGGATAAGAATTTGATAATCTCGCAGTAATCGGAGAATTCGTCTCAAGAAAAGAAGCTTGTTGGTGCTCAATAGAAATTATTTGCAAATTTGCTGATGATATATAAGCATTGCAGAGGCATTCTAACCAAATACAAAGCCAGAGATATCAGAACCAAGAAAAATGAAAATAAAAAACAAAATTATATTTCAGTATGATCTTTATTAGAACAAAATAATAATAATGTTATAATTAAAATATTTATAACACCAAACCAATAAAACAAATAAACTTAAATATAAAAAATAAAAATAAAAAAATAAATGTTAAATAAAAAAACATAAAATGTGGTCTTGGTAATTAAGCTTTGTAATTGCGCTTCAATTATATTCTTCTATGTTTCTGGTTAATTTGAGTCGAATGAATTCTATATTGTTCAGTTTTCAATTCGTTTTTTTATCTTAACAAAGCAATATGAAAATAATTTGTTATTCTCCTTTACGTTTCAAATTCATATTTGAAAAGGTATATCCGTATAACCGTCGAAAATCGAAATCCAGAAAGGATGGTCCACTCAAAGCATATATGATACCCTTCACCACTTTGGGTATATTCAACAGATGGAATTCAAATAGACGTCGCATTTTTGAGAACCGTTAACATTAAATTAAACATGTCATTCTGCAACCTATACTAAATTTTTGATCAGATATAGAGTTGCTTCTTACAATGGGACAAAATTATGTAAATCAATTTAAATCAAAATATAGAAATCTAATCCGATTTCATTGAAACTTGTCACAGGTTGGATTATACTATTTTCAGTGTGTTTTAGGCATATTGTACAGTTCATTGTACAAAATTGTGTAGCAATCGGACAAACTTTGGGTCTTTAGTGCACAATTTACATAAAATCCGAAGAAAAAATATATAGGAGCTATATCTAAATATGGACCGATTTTCAGGAAGCTTAACACACACCATTCTAGACTTCATTCAGTACGCTATACCAAATTTTGTGCCAATCGAAAGATATATAGGGACTTTAGTGCACCATTTACATAAAATCGGACGAAAATATATATGGGAGCTATATCTAAACCTGAACCAATATTCAGGAAACTTAACACACATCATTCTAGACTTAATTAGGTGCGCTATGCCAATTTTCGTGCAAATCGCAAGATATATAGGGACTTTAGTGCACCATTTACATAAAATCGGACGAAAATATATATGGAAGCTATATCTAAACCTGAACCAATATTCAGGAAACTTAACACACATCATTCTAGACTTAATTAGGTGCGCTATGCCAATTTTCGTGCAAATCGCAAGATATATAGGGACTTTAGTGCACCATTTACATAAAATCGGACGAAAATATATATGGGAGCAATATCTAAATATGAACCGATTTTTCCCAATTTCAATAGGTTCGTCCTTGGGCCAAACAAGTGACCTATGCCAAATTTCATCCAATTCGGATCATAAATGCGACCAGTACTTTGTTCACAAAAATGCATATACGGACATGCATAAATCGACTTAGAAAATGAGTCTATGCATATTTTCAAAAGGAACTAGTCTATATAGTTTACATTTGCCTGTTAGAAACATATGCACATAGACATAATACCCTGTACCACAGTCTGGTGAAGGGTATAAGAAGACGGACGGGGCCGACAGTATGATACCCTGACATTCAAGAGATGCATCCTAACAGACCTCGGATTTTTGAAGGGCCATTGACATGAAATTTAATTAAATTAAATATTTGATCTGTGTCTATATGTGAGCCGATTTAACCCTACAATTAATTACCGGGCACATTTGTACCTTTACATACCCTCCACTATGGTATGTACGGTATATTAAGTTTGTTTTCCGTTAGTAACTCATCGAAATAATCTTTTCCGACCCTATATGTATATTCTTGATCAGCGTAAAGTTCTATGACGATATAATTTCCGTCTGTCTGATGTAATCACTCTAGCACTGTAACGAATTGAGATATATGCTTAAATTTGGCATAGAGTAGTCTTTGTATGCTGGCAGGTCAAGTTCGAAGATGGGCTATATCGGTCCACGTTTAGGCATAGCTCCCATTTAAGGTTACTCCCCAAATTTCGGTATTTTGGGGTTATTGACCGCGCTTTTGAACAGAATTCGCTGAAATTTTGTACAGTGGGTTCTTATTGGGTACATCAATACACACACATGTCCTCGGCTACCTATGCGAAACTCCGTTTCACTAGGGACAAACTAATATAAATCGATTTAAATCAAACTATTCATTATGCTACAACACAGAATGTAATCTCAATTGGACACCAGTTCATTATTTGTTGCCCAACATTGGCATCTGAACCAATTTTTACAAAACACAACATTCTGGGCTCAATTTATATATGGGATCTACATCCAAATCTGAATCGATTTCAATAAACTTAGCACACGTTAAGCTATCCTAACATTAGAACGTTATGCAAAGTTTTGTGCTAATCGGCCTACATGTAACTCTTTGGTGCAACATTTGCTTAAAATCGGACGAAAATATTAGGTTGTAGAAAAAGATATCCATTATTTTTTATTTATTTTTTCAAATGGATTAAAACAATTATGGTCGATGTTTAGCTCCTGGGCGATGTTATGACAGCTAACATGCCGGTCAACTTCGATCATTTCTCTGATTTTATTGTCATTTTCGACGAACGGCCTACCTGTGCGAGGTGCACCTTCAACATCAAAAATTCCTGAAAGGAATCTACGAAACCAAAATTGCTCATAATGGCTGTTACAGTATCGGAACCATAAACACCATTCACAATTTTAGCCGCTGGGCTTGCATTTTCGCCCTTGTCACTTCCAAAAATATTTTTTACTGCGAAATGTCACCCTTCCAACGAGCATAAGTCTGAAATTGTTTGATTGATACTTTACAAGAAATCTATCAGTACAGCCATCTGACAAAAAAAAATAATGGATTTCTTTTTCCCCAACCTAATATATATGGGAGTTATATCTACATCTGAACCGATTTTCACCAATTTCAATTTCAGGACAAATAAATGATCTGTGTCAAATTTAATCTCAATCGGGTAACAAATGCGACCTGCACTTTGTTTACAATTGAACACAGACAGACATATGCCACAGTTTGGTAAAGGGTATAAAAAATATTCTTTAACTGAAATGAACCACTGATTGTGAGGGAGGAAAATACAAGTTTTTGGCAGAGATGTAAATAATTCTGGGATCCTCTCTGTTAGGTATTACTTGTTTTAAAAGCTTCAAAGTCGCAATAAGGGGACATGCATTTATTTGAAAATATATTACCAAATTTGATTTCCTGACAAGTTTATGACATTTGCGTATCCACAAAGTGACGATCGACACCTCCCCATCTCCTTCATCCTCCGGGTTTCAAAAAATATATATACGAGAAGTACCGATATACTTCATAATAGGATATTTGCACAATTTTATGGATTCGTTTTAAGGTGGAGTGTTAATCACATTTTTTATTGCGCATACCCCGCAAAGTAAAAGTACCTCTCGAATTGGAGTATTTTTATTATACCGAGTTATGGCGTCAATTGAAACTCGTTGCCCAAGTCTTTAGAGGCTGGAAAATGACTTTCCGACAAGAGGTCCTTTGATTCTCTAATCTAGAGTTCATTCACAGACCAAAATTTCTTCTAATACTGCCTGTCCTTCGATATTATTTTCCGAAATCTTGCCGCTTCATTAACGCCTTCAATTGACTCACTAAAATATACCCCGGAATCTATCATTCCATGTGTATGTTTGTTGTGGTCATCATCATAACTACAAAACAGCATGCCAGTGACAACATATTAAGACAATTCGTTATAGGACGAACCCATTATCAATTTAGAAATGGGCAAAGGAAACGCGAAAAAAACAAAAACAAAAATATAAACAGCGTTACACCTCCAAAGATAATTCGTTCATTAAAATATACCATGTTACGAAATGTGATCCCAGAGCAACTTGTATGTATTCACGCACAAGAAAGCCATTGTTTTTTCATTCTTTGGATCTAAAAATATGCATACGGTCTATGCATAATTACTTAGCTTCCATGACCTGTTTTTTATGCTATGCACACACTTCATTAAGCTATAGAACATTAACTTACAACAATAAAATATACAAAAAATAAATAAAAATAAAAAGTACAATGTGCAAGAAAAAAAAATTAAGTGAAAAACCAATTAAAAAATTATAACAAAAATACATTAATGTACAAACAATGCTTAGCTGAAAAGGACAACAAACTTACTATTTCTTAATGAATATTGGTCTTAGAATAATTTCACACTATATACAAAATATCCAAAGGTGCATGAAAAATCCAGGATAATAAAGATATGATAGGTGGTAGGTAGTATGTAGTAAGTAGTAAATTTCCAAACGACCCGATGATTCAGAATTGTGAAAATTTCAATAACTCCATCACAAATGTACCTCCTTCAGTGTAAATCGTATATATCTATTAGTAGCAAATTGTTTAATTACGTTACGTTGATTATTGATGATACTTCAGTTTCGTCTTTGAGTGGTTTATTGATTAGTTAATTCGGTTGCTTTTTGTTTTTTATTCTCAATTAATTTTTCCCCAACGTAAGTTGACAAATCCTTATTACCGAAGTAGTCTACTATATAAACAACCACCACTGAAAAAAAACACAAATGTCAAACTGGGGTAATGGGATGGGATTTGTTATTAAACGTCAACTGTCATTTAGGTACACTGAAAGAAACTGTACATAACCAATCAGCTGATGTGGATGTCATTTATTTTCATGGTGGATGTCGTTTCTAAGATAAACGTTTACATTTCATTAAAGTAAATTATCATGAAATTAATTTATTATTTTTATGAATTTAAGTTGTAATTTCTTTTAAGTTTAATTAACATTAAATCGAGTGGCCAATTTAAAGTTAATTACTATAGTTCTCATCCAGAACCTAAAAGAATCTACTAATTTTACAAGTTTTGCAACTTTTTACTCAAAAACCGTTCCTGAACCCACAAAACTGCATGGTAAAACATTGGATCAAATTTAAGAGAGCACAAAACCAAATGGCGTTTTCTTTGTAAACTTTTTACTCGAGAAATTTTGCCGAGTACATGATCCAATAATAAGGTCGTCCGAATAGGCCAGATGATTTTACCCGAGCTGTCAAAATGCTTTCAATTTTGACTTATTGTGTGAAAACGTAAACAAAAAATTTTACAGCTTGGGGGATTTTAATACAAAATTTTCGATAACGATTGCTTCTGATTATGGCCGAGTAAAAATGGTAAACAGACATGCCTACTTCTGATTGGCTGTTATATTGATTTTGAAGTATTGCAATACAATTCCGCCTATTTACTAGATTTGCGTTCCCGTACTTTTCAAATTATTTGGTACTCTTGGAGCGATTTATAAATGTTTCCCTTTTACTCGCTTTAATAGTAATTTAATAATTTAAACCTTCAGTCCTTCTGTACAAGATGACCTCGCCAAACCGAAGGTTCCAACGATCAACATTGTTGCTAAACCATTGGGGTCAACAAATCTGTTTGTTAGAAATTTTTTGCGTGAGGACTTGAGGTTTAGTCATGGCAAAGCTTCGTACCATAGTAAGTGCTTGGCAACCAAGCCTGAAAACTTGTTGATGCTGCGTTAGAACACAATCAGTACCCAAATTTTGAAACACTGAAGAAGTGAAGATATTTAGAGGAGTTATTCACCTCTCGTCGACCTTTGGATCATAGTACATACATAAACTCATCGTAGACGTAGGTTATATATTTGTCAGTAACACCGACTGACACATTTTTACATGAAATCCACTGTTGCATTTTTAAAATTTCCATTTTGACAACTAAATTCATTCAATTTCAAACAGGGAAGTCTCAGGCATATGTTTCCAATTTTTCCTTAAAGTTACTTTTAGCAACATTTAGCTTTCAAAATTATAATGACAATACCTTCAGTTCGTCTTCGGACGGCTCACAAGAAAGACGCATTAAAAGAGTTAATTCCGCCTACGGGTTTGAAAAATTACAAAATGGCGCTGTGTTAAGTTTCGCTTAACTTGCCACGTGTTTTATCGAACTAAACTAAAAAAATTAAGAAAATCTCGTGCATATGGTGTATGATCCTATATCTTCTATCCTAATAAAAAGTGGACTAGCTGGAGGAGGACGTGCCTCCAGTTTTTAAAGAAATATATAAAAAAGTGAAAATACAGTATTTTTCGGTTAATTACGGGGTTACGGTTACGGGGTTTCCACGCTTAAATGAACAACATGATGGGGCAAAAAATATTTCATAGGAAAATACATGTAAATTTTCTCGGATAATTAAACCCTGTTAATTGATTTTCCCGCTTAATTGGTTCAAAATTCATGTCATCAAAATTAAATTTCCTTTTACTTTTCACCGCTTAATTGCATAATAATAATTGACAAATTGTGGCGGAAATGTTTTTTGAATATTTCGTTTATTTTATATATTTTTTTAACGCGAACAGCAAAATTAGCACCCCGAGCTCATTTTTGTTAACCATTTATTTATTTCTCACACTATTATAATTAAATAGTGTGAAAAATAAATAAAATTTTCTCCTGTCATTCGAAATAAATCTTCAAATGTGGCAACACCACCAACCAACTATTTATTTTCTCTGTTGCATTTTTCCCCAAAATCCAATTAGACTTGGTACTGGAAGACAAAATGTAAACAACTGGAAACACTTGTCAAATTTGTCAGTAACAACGGCAACTCTGCAGCTGATTGACAATTATATATTTTTTATGTGGTCGATGGAGATAATAAGTGCAGATATTTTAGAATAAAAAAATCGAATAGAAAACGGCCGAATGCAAGTTCGCAATATAAATAACAAATTTTAAATGTTCCCCAAGCAATGAACCATAGCAAAAACAACAAATTATTATTAACAATTATTATTAACAAATGATCAGCAAAGAAAACAAGTCCAATCAAGAAAACCGAGTGTGTGTGTGTCAAAACGTAGAAAGAAAAGAAAAAACATCGGACGGGTAACAAGATAAAAGTGAAAAAAATGTAAAAATAGATTGCAAAACAACAAGCCCAATAGCAAAACTAGAGAAATGTGTTGAGAATTCGATGGAAATTCTAAGCCGAGTTATTGTGAAAATTACGCAAAAAAATTACTATATATCTCCACACCCACTTATCGGAACCCCGTGAAAAAACAACAACAAGAAAGTATAGAAAAACAAGATTCCTTTGGTCGGTCATGTGTGAGAGTGTGTGTGCGTTGTGTGTGATGGATGATTTTTCTCCCCACTTCCACTTTGTGTGTGATGTGTGGTGCTGCGTAAGCTAGAGACTGTGTGTGTGAGTGCAATTTTTTTCTACTACTATTTAGCTGCTATCACAGAGATTAATTATAATTATCTGGAAAGAAAAAACACAAAACAGCTTACTAAAGCTTCCAAAAATGCAAAACAAATGTTAAAATGTAAAACGACCAATTGTCAAAGAATCTAAGGTGAACTCCACTAAAAAAAGAAGCCAACTCCCTTACGAAGTGTTCAAGAGAAGGGAAGAGGCGAAAAAAGGGCATCGTCGTCTATTGAACACAAACAAACAAAAACAAACTGAATTGAATTGAATCAAATCAACCGTCCGACAACGATCGAACAACAGCAGCAGCAAAGCGACAGTGAAAAAAGCTTGAGGCAAAGAAATAGAAACAAACACACATTACCAGTAGAGAAGTCACACAAAAGTACGTAAGAACGAAGGTGGACTAGGTATTGAATTTATTCTTTTGGAATAAAAGTTGCCGTAATGGCAACGCAACTGGATCCTAATGTCAAAGATGACCTGAAGACACAGTTTATAACACGAGAGGGTACCTATCGATTGCTTACCCTCTCCGAGTATTCACGACCCAATCGTGTGGGCTATACCAATAATCAGAGTTCACCACAAGTAAGAGTATCGATTGTTACCCTGCCAAATCCACCGGCAGGAGCGACTAACAATGGCAACAGCAGTGGCGGTGGGAATGGCTCGACTGCAGCTACCGGCTCATCTGCGAATGCGGTGAATAATAATGGTACAAATGGTCGTAATGTTAACGTAAACAATTCATCATCAACAACCGCAACAACATCCTCAAATAATGGAGCTGGTGGTAATAATAGTTCGTCGGCCAATGGTGGTGATAGCTACGATCTTGGTGGTCTACAATCATCGTCCTCGTTAAATGGACCGGTGTTATCATCCCAGTCACAATATGTTGTACCTTCATCGATGGATGCACGTTTGGGTGCCGGCATGTCAATGCACACAATGATGAATGGTTCGGGTGGTGTGGGCGGTGGCGCAAACGGCAATGGTGGTGGTGGTATCGATCAAAATGGCATGCCTATCAATCAGGTGTTGGGCGGTGATCGTATCTGTTTCAATTTTGGCCGAGAATTATATGTTTATGCATTTCGTGGTGTTAAAAAGGTAAGTGTTTTGGAAATGTTTATTGAAAATATACATTTTTTTATTGTCAATTATTATTTAAGGTTCGTACAGATTTGCAATAGCCGTCTAGTATATTTTTTTATTATAAATATCAATCAAGGATGTTAGAAGTTTTGCAGGACTACATCAAACTTTGTGCAAATCGAGGGATATATAGAGACTTTAGTGCAGATTTATCTAAAATCGGACGAACATATAAACGGGAGCTATATCGAAATCTGAACCGATTTCCCCAAATCGAAGGATATAAAGAGACATTGGTGCACTATTTACCTAAAATCGGGTGAAAATATATATGAGAGCTATATTTAAATCTGAACCGATTTTCACGAAATTTAACACACATCGTTCAACACTTTATTCAGTACGCTATGCCAAATTTCATGCAAATCGAAGGATATAAAGGGACATTATGCACTATTTACCTAAAATCGGACGAAAATATTTATGTGAGCTATATCTAAATCTGAACCGATTTTCACGAAATTTAACACACATCGTTCTAGACTTAATTCAGTACGTTATACCAAATTTCATGCAAATCGACAGATATATAGGGACTTTAGTGCCGTATTTTCCTTAAATCGGACGAAAATATATATTGGAGCAATATCTAACCTGTACCACAGTGAGCCCCTTCTATGGCTTCTGGTGATAAATGAGATACCGCTGAAGTTCGACCATCTTAGGATATAGGTTGTAGCCTATGACGATGATGTAGTCGATGATGCTAGTCGGTGGTAAATTTCTAATGACAATTTCAGATATTTTGGAGGATGCCCTTTCAACTCTGTCTAACTGGGCATACGCCAAAGGTCCTGTGTAAACCCCACTAAAACAGAATTGGTGTTCGTCACTAGGAAACGTAAGATTCCTACTTTCCGCTTGCCATCACTGGGAGGAGTGACCCTAAGCCTTTCTGAAGAAGCAAAATAACTTGGTACTATCCTTGACCGCAAATTAACGTGGAATAGGAATGTTGAGGAACGCTCTAAGAAAGGACTGTTAGCACTCAACTCATTCAAGAACTCCATAGGTAAGAGCTAGGGACTAAGACCGGAGATTATACACTGCCTTTATGTGACGATCGTTCTCCCCATTCTTACATATGGTTGCCTTTTTTGGTGGCAGGGGGTCAACAAAAAGATACTGCTGACAAAATTAAATTTAGTACAGCGATCGGCTTCAATCCTGACTACCAGAGCGCTAAGATGTATACCACGGAAAGTCTTGCATGCGATCTTGAATCTCCAACAACTCGACATTCTGATTAAATTCTAGGCGGCCAGATGTGCTCTGAGACTCCGGGAAGGGGATGCCTGGAAATCGCAAAACTATGGTCACGCGGTCATCATAACGTCAGATTGTGACCTCTTAAGGGGAAATAGGCACATTAGTGACTATGTTCCCTCTCTAACGACATCAAAGTAAAGTTTCCTAGTAGGGAATCCTGGACTAGTGGCTCCTTACCTCTGCCAGGTCTGTCATTCTTTACAGACGGGTCAAAGATGGAGGAAGGCACTGGTGCAGGCGTTTACTGTAGGGAATTAGAAATATACAACTCATATAAACTTAACAATCTTTGTAGCGTTTTTCAAGAAAAAATCCTTGCAATCACGAAAGCTGCCGAGATAGTAAAATCACTTGTGACAATATATGTCGATATTCAGGCGGCCCTTAAGGTGGTGAAGTTGAGCAGTATTAACTCAAAAGCAGTTAATGATTGCAAGTCCGCTCTGAATGATATACGACAGATAGTTAGCTTATGTTGGATTCCAGGACATAGTTACATTGAAGGGAATGAGATAGCCGACGAGCTTGCTTGAAGGGGCTCATAATCCCATCTTCCGATTGAGATATCTTTAAAACCACCCATTGGCTATTTCATTAGCAAATTCCGCTTGTTCCACTGCGAGGTAGTCGGTAACAGATGGTCGAGAGAACCTGGTTGTAGACTCTCAAATCTATCTGACTGAATTCTCTCGCAAAAGAACGTCTTCGCTGCTGACTCATAATAAGCGTGGTTTTACATTTGCCGGGATTTTCATTTCTCTCTCTTGAGAGAGTAATTAGAGTTGCGATATTTTTAATTTTGTAATAAGCGTACTTTTATTCACAAAAGATACGACTTGACATAAACGTACCAAAACAAAATTTTTTTATTATTCGTGAATACATTTACGCTTAAATTATAACATATATTATTTATGCAAATAACTGGTATAAATATTGGACAATATTTCTAGATAATTATGATTTATTATCATTTGAAGTAGAATTTTAGGTACCTTTTCGTACTTTTTTGTTCCTACCTGTGGTAATCCCGGCAAATGTACAACCACGCTAAGAGAGAGAGAGAGAGATCAAAATCATTGTTGGGATCATAACATGTCACTGCAAGATTATATCTCTCCGCTCTCCTTCTCTCGCCATATTTTTCCTTGCTGTTCCACTCTCTCTTATCTTTCACAATGGGCAAGATTATATCTCTCACTTCGAAATGGGACTCCAGGGGAGAGGATTACTGTCATCTATGTGAGGACGAAGAAGAGCTAGAAACAATTGAACATATCCTCTGTAAATGTCCATCGCTGATTGGCAGAAGACATAAACAGTTTGGAAATTGATAATCTAGCCTTCTTCTCTAAAATAGACTCCAAGCAGATCCTAGGCTTGGTCAAAAACCCGACATGGATTAAATAACAATCTCTCCGTTCTCCTTCCCTCACTATCTTTTCCTTGCTCTTCCACTCTCTCTCTTCTCTTTATCAATGGACATTAGTCTCCGAGTGGACTGTTGTTACTAACAACGGTACATCCCTAACCTAACCTATCATTGCAGTCATGAACCGTATTTGAATTTACCTTAAGCGCCACCTGGCTATTGCATGGTACCAAGGTAGTTTTCATTTTATTTTTTTTTTTTTTGGCTATTTCAGGCCATTTCATGATTTTTAAGATTTCTGCTGAAAAACTCTAAGAATTTTGATAAAATTGTATGAATGGTTTGTGGCTTATTCCTTACAGTATATACCTTCTTCCATCTTGGAGCCATTGTATATATTGACAGGCCATCCCGAGGTAGACAGTCACTTCTCCATGATTTGTGATCAATGATTATTCCAAAGTATTTGGATTGTAAATAGCCGAATGTTTCATATATGAGTAGAACATTAAAAAAGTTTAATTTCATGAACCTAACAAATGTATACTTCATAATTAATCGTATATCATAGAGACATTAAAACCTAATTTTAAATTGTCCATTTTTAATTTCATGTACTTATCTACGCTAAAGACAGTGCCATGTTAATAGCATCCAAAACAGAAAAAAGGCACAAGTTCAATTAGGTATACAACTATCCTCTTATCGGTAAATGTAATTGTGGATGACAACAAATCTGGCAAAGAGATGAGGAATGTAAAGGCAAAAAAAAAAAACTTTTTTTTGAAATTATTCCAAATTTTCCCTTGAACACTATCAGTAGATAAAATGTAAATAGATGTACATACATACCAGTTTCCGGACAGTACCCAAAACAGTGTCCTGCCAGAATATAATAGAGGGATTTTTACACAATAAAACATAAAGGAGAGAAGAAAATAGTAGAAAGTTTAAAACCTGAACATGAATTGAACATGAATTTGCCAGTAACACTCTTCAATTTATTCTATTCGAATAATACAAAAGAACAGATATTAAGTCGCCTATTCGTATTAATTATCTGACACAATTTTTATTTAAACTACCTTATCCGAATATATCGTTATGGTTTTGAGAACAATCATGTGTGTAGGACAACGAATACATTTTAGGGAACACTGCAAAATTTCCTCAAACTTTTCCATTATTTAAACAAGTATTATTATCAGCCCTTTGCCATAATATAATGATCAGCTACTGTCCATAGACATGTGCATCATCTTCAGTTATTGCTGCAAATTAAATAACAATCGCGTTTTATTTGTGTCTCTAACGATTGCAATTATGAACTTGTCTATGCACATGAGACTCGATAGAGGAACCTTTTTGTAGTTCTAGTTATTTATCTTATCATTTTATCAGAATGCAAAAAATAAAAAAACAACAGATAGAGAGAACAACAATAGCAACGATGGACAATAGACGTCAGGCAACAAATTGTAAATAAATAGCGTAGTGTTGTATGAAACACTTGTTCAGCTTTAGGGTCTGGTTACGTTGAAGTTTGAAAATTACATTGAACTCGGGTATATTTGCCATAGAAATATTAGAAGAAATGAGACAGGATAGATGTAATGTGACATGTGATGTTATTTTTTTTAATTTTTCTGGATAATATCAAATCTTAAGGATTTAATGCTGAGAATTCGTAGAAAAGTACGATGAAAAGATAGGAATATCGATTATTATGAAAGATAAAAAACTCGTCTTTTAGAGGAATGAAGATATAAGTGGACTACTGAGTCCCATCTTTGGACTTAATCTAAATTTCGTAAAGATAATGGGTTGTGCAAAGTTTGGTTCAAATCAGACATTCCATTCGCCTGATATTGGATTAACTTAACTAATATTAAAAATTTTGGCCATTTGTGGGGGAGGTACTAGAAGGAGTTGACCAATGGGTCCCATCTTCAAAATTAATCTAGGCTTTGTAAAGATAATAGGCTGTATACATTTTCATAAAAATAGGGTAGTCCGTTTGCATGTTATTATAAAATTAATATTTAGCACAATTTTGACCATTTTGTGGGGGAGGTACCGAAAAGAGTGGACCAGTGGGTCCCATCTTCAAACTTGATCTAAGCTTGGTAAAGATAATAGGTTGTACACAGTTTCATTAACATCGGATAGTCCGTTTGCATGTTATTATAAAATCATTTTTTAGCACAATTCTGACCATTTTGTGAGGGAGGTACCAGAAGGAGTGGACCGATATTTCCATCTTTGAACATAAACGATATTTGAACGAAATATTAAGATGTGCAAAGTTTGAATG